GACAAAGTGGGCTTTGGCCCTGCTACTGTGACCACCAGCTGCAGGACAGGTGCTGCTCACAGAACCTGTCACCTCACATTTAGGTCCTGCGGAGGAGTGGAATAGGGCGCAGGGGTGCCAGCCTGGCATTTACCAGAGGGCTTTCAGGGGCAAGCAGAGGTGGCTCCAAATACAAGGCCCACATGGTACAATTCTGAAGACACAGAAACGCGTGGGAGTCAATTCATGTAGGCAGCAAGTTGGAAACCCAAGTTCAGGAGAGACTATCCTGGTATGTTGTACCCTTTCCTCTTTGCCCTGAATTTCTCAACAAAGTGAGGAAGGAGGAGCAGGGGGAAAAGTGGGAGAGCATCTAGCCCTTTTAACTAATAGCTCTAGTTTTGTGGATTAACAATTCATAAAGAATGATGATTTACTACTCACAGGGATTAAGACCTCACAAATGGCACATCTTTGCAACCTAAAATGGTCTGTGCAAGGAGCTCAAGTAAAACAACTGCTGGACTTGAATCATGTCTAGAGCCATTCATCATATAAACAGGCTGTCCACTGAAGAAGTTTAAATGACCAATCATATGAGCGATGCTCAGTCTCACTGAAAGCTATAGAAAGGCAAGTTTTTTGCCTCCCAAAGTTTAAAATGTTTAACAGCACATACCAATTTGGGTATCTAGTTCAGAGACTGAAGTAGGCCCACACATTTCCTTCCCTCCCACTCAGAAACAGCAGTAAAGATGTGGAAAAGGAAATAAATCCACAGCAGTGCCTAGTGCAGCAAGTGGGGATATCAGCAGTATTTTTTATAACTTTCTGGAGAATAGAAAGCGAACAGGATTGAATAACCAGATACACCACACAGAGGGAAGCAGTATCTGAGGTACGGGAGAATGCTGCCATGCAGAGACAGCCAGGCTCCTGGGGAGGGGAGCTGTCTTCCGGGGGAAGAAGCTCCCCCTTCTTGGCGGCTCCAGAAGGGCTGCCAAGTTGTGACTGACAGAAAGGGAAGTAGGACTAGCAAGTGGGCTGGCTAACAAGATGACTATTTGCAGGGTGATCTGTGGAGCAGCCCAGCTGCTTGCCCATCCCCATTCCCACCACTTCCCTGACACATGCGCAGGGCAGCAGGCCAAGTACTGGCCACCTTCAGAGAAGAATCTGCTCTTTAGGGGAACTGAACAGTCAGCCTAAGGTAGTCTAGGGCTCCTTGAGTGAGGGGAGGGTTGGCCCTCCAGAGTGAGGTTTTCCTTGTTTGGGCTCTGAGCAGGGGGCATGCAGGGGTGTAGGGAGCAACCCTTCAGCCTGATTTCTGCCTCTGACCTAAAGTGAACAGTGCGAGCCCATGTCCTCTACCTATCAACACACACTCTTAAACATGAATGGAGAAGTGAGGATGGCCAGAGTTCATGAAAATTAAACATTTCAATAGAAGTGTTGAAATATAAAGTTGAGGAAATATTTCAGAAAGCACAATCCACAGTCCTGAAAGATCGCTTGTGTGTGTACTCCAATATGATGTAAGTGAAATCCAAGAAATGTTAGAAATAACTTAAGGGTATAATTAATTTTTTTTAAAAAAAACTATGGTAGCAGCTGTGGTACATGTGTAGAAGACAAAAAGGCAACAACATTAGGCTATTCAAAAATGATATGTTTAAGAAACTAGATTATCTTGATTGCATGGTAAAGAGGATATATGCTTCCATTGTCAATTAGTTCAAAAATGAAAAGGAAATAGAACTCCAGAAGGAAACAAAATCAGAGGTAAACTCCTAAGTCCAAATAAGAAGCAACCTAAATTAAAGCATAGTTGTGAGAAACTGATAAGTGTAAAAAGGATTTTTTAAATTTGATTTAGACTTTTGAACATTCTCTTTTGAGTGGATTATTTTTTCATTGAAACTTCACTAAATAATTTTTATATATTTACAGAGGTAGAAAAACTGCTTCTTCATTTTCAATTATTATAATAAATTTTCAGAAAGTATAAAAGGCTTAATGTTAATTTCAGAATAGAATACCACTACTGAAAACCCAGTAAATACAAAAAGGACTGGGGCAATTATACCAAAGATGGGGGGGAAGGAAGTAAGGAGAAAGGGCAGGGGAAAAAGTAGGGGGTATAATACCCCATTTACATAGTAAGGAGTCAAGTGAGGCACTTGAGCACCATCTGAAACCATGAAGGTCAGTGGGTGCTGGAAACATCAGGGGGAGCACTGTGTAAAATATATGATTGTCTAATCACTAAGTTGTACACCTGAAACCAAAGCAAAATAGTACTGAAAAGAAACTGTGATTGAAATATAAAAATAATAATAAAAAAAGAAAATTATGAAGGTGAGAAAAAACAGAGATAGTAAGAGGGTACATTAGTGCAAATCCTTGTGTGCAGAAGTAAAAATACTGTACAAAGCTGATAAATCAAAAAATGGGATATAAGCATATTATTTAGGATTTTATGGCAATTAAAATTGCCATGAAATTGAAATTAGAATTGGCTAAAGTTGCTTACCACACAGAGTGAAACAGGATAAGGAGGGGGAGAAGATTTTAATAATGTTATTTGAATGTCATTTTCATCACATGTAAGTATTAATCTAAAGATAAGAATGGAAATAATACTCTTACCAAGTATTGGCATTGGTGAAGGAAAGAGACCCTTTTATAGTCTGTTTGCATGAGTGAAAATTGAATTGGGCCAAGCTTTTGAAAGGGGAATTTCATACTATTAAAAAGAACCAGCCGCTCTCTTTAATAATAATAACACTATACAAGTTTCTACACCACAAGGACCATGTTGAACAGCAGCTGGCAAACCAACCAAGAGATGACAGAGATACACTAAGGTTTTCCTTCATTGCACATGTGTGTGAACATAAACACACACATACTCACACCGTGCATCTCTCAAATGTTGACTCACTAAGGTGGAAACACCAGCTGCCCAGGTTCTTGGAGTTCTCCCACTTCCAGCTTTAATAGTTTGTAGTGCTCCTTACATGGAAGGCTGTGTTTCTCCTGGTGGTTTCCCCATCCTCACATGACTCATTCTGGTTTACTTTTGTGGAGGCGACTAACTTGGGAGCTGGAACTTTTTCCCCCTTAGAGAGTATGGGGCTAACCACAGTGTTCCAATGTCTGTGGGTGTTGGCCAGCCAGTTGGAAGGCCTGCTCTTGGTCTCTCAGTCCTTTCTTTGTGGTTATTCAGAAAAAGCCCTGTCTGTGTTCCAAATGTGGTCCGCCTACCAGCAAAGCTGCCTCTGTGGCCTGACAAGCTCACTCTTCCTGTGTCATCACTGATGTTATGGGAAAGAGAACACCACTGCCTTTGGACAGCCTCAGCAAGTGCTGTCCAACTTGACTTGAAAAGTGAAGCCAGGTTCTTCCCATGATTTGATGATGAGACTCCTGGGAAATTCTATGTCAAACTACATTTTTGTAGAGCATGACAGTTAATGCATAATTATAACAGCCCTCAATCTCTATTTTATATGAGAAAACTGATGCTTACTAATAGTAAGGTAATTGCCCATGATCCTTCTGCTAGAAAGAAGTAAAATATGGATAAAGATCCAGTTCTCCTGAATCCTAATCTTGTGTTTTTAAGTACATTGTATTGATTATGCTATTACAGTTATCCCATTTTTTTCTCCCCTTTATCCCCCTCCTCCCTGTACCACCCTCCCACCAGCATTCCCCCACTTAGTTCATGTCCATGGGTTGTACATACAAGTTCTTTGGCTCCCCCACTTCCTATACTATTCTTAACCTCCTCCTGCCTATTTTGTACCTACCAATTATGCTTCTTGTTCCCTGTACCTTTCCCCAATTCCCCCCCACTCCCTACTGTAACCCTCTGTGTGATCTCTATTTCTGTGATTCTGTTCCTCTAGTTGTTCTAGTTTGCTTAGCTCATTTTTGTTTTTAGGTTCATTTGTTAATAGTTGTGAGTTTGTTGTCATTTTACTATGCATAATTTGATTTTCTTTTTCTTAGATAAGTCCTTTTACATTTCATATAATAAGGAACTGGTGATGATGAACTCCTGTAACTTGATCTTATCTGGGAAGCACTTTATCTGCCCTTCCATTCTAAATGATGCTTTGTTGGATAGAGCACATCTTGGATGTAAGTCCTTGCTTCTCATGCCTTTGAATGCTTCTTTCCAACCCCTTCTTGCCTGCAAGGTTTCTTTTGAGAAATCAGCTGTTAGTCTTATGGGAACTCCTTTGTAGGTAACTGTCTCCTTTTCTCTTGCTGCTTTTAAAGACAAGTCTCTCCTTGTCTTTAATCTTGGGTAATTTAATTATGATGTGTCTTGATGTGTTCCTCCTTGGATCCATCTTCTTTGGGAATCTCTGAGCTTCCTGGACTTGCATGTCTATTTCCTTCACCAGATGGGGGAAGTTTTCCTTAATTACTTTTTCCAATAAGTTTTCAACTTCTTGCTCTTCCTCTTCCCCTTCTGGTACCTCTATGATTCAGATGTTGGATCGTTCCAAGTTGCACAGAGGTTCCTAAGCCTCTCCTCATTTTTTTTTTGAATTCTCATTTCTTTATTCTGTTCTTGTTGAATATTTATTTCTTCCTCCTGTTCTAAATCATTTGAGTACCAGTTTCTTTCCCTTCACTGTTAGTTCCCTGTATATTTTCCTTCCTTTCACTTTATAGCCTTTGCTTTTTCCTTTATTTTGCAGCTGTACCGCATCATTTCTGTGAGCATCCTGCTTACCAGTGTTTTGAACTCTGTCCCTGATAGGTTGGCTACTTCCTTGTCACTTAGTTCTTTTTCTGCAGTTGTTTAAATATATTTTATTGATTATGCCATTAGAGTTGTCCCATTTCCTCCCTTCATTCCCCTCCACCTGGCACACCCCCTCCCCCCATTCCCCCTTTTAGTTCATGTCCATGTGTCACAAGTTCTTTAGCTTCTACATTTCCCATACTATTCCTGCCCTCCCCACTATTTTGTACCTACTGTCTATACTACTTATTCTCTGTACCTTCTCCCCCCTTCTCCTCCTCCCACTTCCCTGTTGCTAACCCTCCATGTGATCTCCATCTCTATGGTTCCACTCCTGATCTAGCTGTCCTCTTAGTTTGCTTTTGTTTTAGGTGTGCTTGTTAATAACCGTGAGTTTGCTATCCTTTCACTGTTTATATTTTTATCTTCTTTTTCTTAGATAAGTCCCTTTAATATTTCATATAATAAGGGCTTGGTGGTGATGAACTCCTTGAATTTGATCTGATCTGAGAAGCACTTTATCTGCCCTTCCATTCTAAATGAAAGCTTTGCTGGTTAGAGCAATCTTGGATGTAGGTGTTTGGATTTCACGACTTGAGATACTTTCCTGCAGTTTTGATCTTTTCTTTCATTTGGGCCATATTTCTTTATCTCAGCACACTTGTTATGTTGTAAGGGGTGGAGCCTTAGGTATTTGCCAGGATGGGGCCACCCACTTTGCTGCGTTGTGGCACTGTACCTGGGGGAAGAGTCAGAGAGCAAACAATGATACTTGCTCAGCTCTCTCCCCACTTTCAGTCACTTCCTCCTCTACTCACAAACAAATTGGGCCCTTTTGGCTGATTCCTGGGTGGGTGGGTTTATGTACATTTTAGGACCCCAAAGGCCTTTCCAACAGACTCTCCTGTGAGACTGGGAGTTTCTTCCGCTGCAGCAACCCCCACAGATTTTTACAGCCAGAGGTTCTGAAGCTTTCTTTTCCTGCACTGGAACCCTGGGTTGTGTGGTCTATCTCTTCCCCCAGTTGTTCTTCCCAATTTATCCACACATGAATGTTGTTATCCTCCTTTTGGTCGTGCAAACAGGCAAAGTATATCTGTCTATGCCTCCTTCTTGGCCGGAAGCCCCTAATCTTGTGTTTTTTTCATACTATACTGTGAGATGATCTTTAAGACCTCTTAGTAGGATAGTTGTTGGGATTAGTTAAAAAAGCTTTTTACTCTGCTTCTGCGTTTGGTAGAAATTCCTGTTCTAGATGGTGATATCCAGCATCTTACATTGTAGGGCTTTGGACTGGATCCCAAATTTGTGGCTTAAAAATTGTGTGTCCTTCTCAAGTTCATACAGTATCTCTGAGTTTTAGTTTCTTCATCTGTAAGATGGAGATAGTAATACTTATCTCCAATCAAAGCTCACTAGGATTGCTGTGAGGTTAAAATGATATAATGTACATCAAGTACTAAGTAAGAGCTCAAAGTGGTAGTGGATGTCAATATGAAGAGAATTACTCTGAAATATTTTAACTCATTAAATAACATTCCCAAATTTCCTCTTCAGATAAGTTCCTTAGTGACTATTCTCCTCTCTTCTAATATGTCAACTCATCTTCACAGTACTAACTTTTAAAACTAGCTGGTTATGTGACTATAAAGACAAGAATTTTGAGTTAGTAAACTCTCCTGCCAAAAGCAACTAGTATTATTATATATAAGACACTGAGCACCCAACAAGGGCATATGCAATGAGATGACAGCAAGTCCCATTCTTTCTTGACCTCAAGAACACATTTTCTCAAGGAGGATGCTGTGTACATGGTATGTGGAATTGTTTTTAATTGATGAGACAGTATCCTTTATATCAGGAAGAAGGCATTTGTTAGGCAAGTGCCAGTATTACAGGTGGTCAGAGGAGTGAAAAGCATTTGTACTCAGTAAACATGTGCTACCAACTTCATAGGCAAACAAATGGAGACTATTATCGTAGCTTTTGCACATTGGTGAAGATAAATGGCAGATAACACCACAGGTTGCTGTGCCCTTTGAAGGAGGATGGATGGGAGATGGGGAGTAAAGTAAACATCTACAGTGAGAGGACTGTGGCACTGGCTTTAGCCATCAGGGGCTACAAAAGTTAGTCATTTTCTGTGAATTGGGGTAAGTCCATGAAGACACCAAATGCATATGAAGGGAGAGGGATGAGGAGAAAAGGTATGTGTATAAAAAGGAGATAGAGTTCCTTTATGGAAGGCTTGTTCTTTGTGATCATATAAAGCGACCAAACCTAAATGTACATAGAGGGACCTATGTTCTCACTAACATAGTGAGGCTCATAGAGAGAGGCTTTGATTTTGTGTCTACTTGGGGAACTCTGAGAAGGCAGTCCACCATAGCCCTCAAGGTAAAAAGCCTACTTGCTTCTTAGAGGAAATGATGTTGGAATTGCAGGCTTGATCTTCAATGTCTTGGTATAAAGAATAGACATTAAGGCTGTACCAATTTTTAGTATGAAAAAAAAACACAAAGGTTTTTTCTGAAAAACTGGGAAATACTAACTTATCAGATAAGTGCATATCTTCAAACCCAAGTCAGTCAAAAATGCCTTGAGTAAGACTCAGAGTAGTCTTATTTTGCAGCACTAAAGAGACCTGATCTCACACATTGAAAACATTGAGAAAATTAATAGAAGATGCAAGAGAAATAAGTGTAAGTCAAAACTTCAGAGCAGTGATCCTTAACAGGAAAGAGAAAGGGGTGATTTTGTCCCCTACCCCCTTCCTGGGGACATTTGACAATGTCTTGAGATATTTTTTGATTGTTACAACTGGAGGGGAGGATGATGCTGGTACTTGGTGGGTAAAAAGGGGCAGAAATGTGGCTAAACATCTGACAATGCACAGGACAGCCCTCACCCCAACAAAGAACAAAATATTAATAGTGGAGGTTAAGAAACCAGTGCTTAGATGTATCATCCTTTTCACCAAATATATCAGCTGTTAAACTATGTAGCCAGTTGAATGAAAAAACGCCAAAGGTAAGAACAGATAAGTTTCTAGCATAAACAAATGAGAAATTTTAGCTTCTCCCCACAAATCTCTTCCCCTAATCTTTTCAAATATGAATTTAATAGAACCATATTTTTTAAAAAGCTATACAAATTTTATGACATTATTATTACCTGCATTATTCTTGTAAATCACATGAATTGCCTTAATTAATGTTTACAACTTCATATAATTACCCCGATTTCATAGACATTGAGAGGGTAAATGTTAATATTTTTTGGACCTCTGCTATCTATCAGATGCTGTACTAGGCACTGAGGTTGTTACCCAGACAGATAAAAACTTGGTCCTAAGAAGTCCCAAATCTCCTAGGGGACAGAGATGTGATACACATAATAGAAGGATAAACACAGCGTGGGAGAAGGAGAACAGGGAGAAAACCGAAGTCATTTGCCTGAGGTTATGAAACTAGTCATTGGCAGGGCTGGGACCTGTCTTAAGGTCTTCTGAGTCTCAATTCCTCTGTCTTGGCGTAACAAATTCACTCCCTTAGCTTTTCCAGAGAAGTAAACATAAAACTGAAAAGTCCTCAAAAAAAAAATCTGTAAGTTACTTCCTGGGTGATGTTTAGAAACACTGTTGAAAGGGCACTTGAGGGTAGGATTTTAAAAGGGAAGATAAGACATAGCAAAACAGAAAAAAAAACAGGCTTCAAACCCACAACTGAGCTGTTCTTGTACTCTGTATTTATGTAAGACCCACGCCCCCAGAGTAATCCGACTTTGAATTGCAGGAACAGGAAACAGACCTCTCTGGTGCGTGGGCTAAGTCCCTTCAAATGCGGCCGAGCGTCCTGGTCCCCCCGCCGAAGCCGGGCGTGCGGGGTGCTCCATTTCGGCGGGGACTGTCCTGGGGGAGCGGCAGGAGCGGCGGGAACTTGAGAAGCCGCGACAGGGGCCTGGTCAGCTCTCATCTGCTTCTTCTCCTCCCCCAAAGCTGGATGGAAATATGAAGACACAACTGACTGGCAGTTCCTCATTCTGATGACAAACAAGAAGCTGATTGCGATGAAATACCACTTTCCAGCTGTTCGTTTCCACTTCCACTTCCCAGGAGACGTGCGCTTTGCCATCCGCCCATTGAGTGGTTCTGAGCCAAGCAAACGCAGGCCTCACAGCTCGGTCACTGAGGCTGGAAGACTGCGCCCCTCCCGCTGACCTGCCAGGTGGACCGGAGCCGTGGGCCCCGCGCTGGGGACACTAAGGACTTGTTTCCACTCAGGCCAGGGCCTTGTCCCGGGGGAAGGCACAGGCAGTCAACACAAACCTGATTCATCTCCCCCCATTTGTAAAGTCCTGATGTCACCACAAGCCAGCCCTCCCTCCGCTCCCCTTCCTTGTCACTAAGTTCACACCACGTTTACCGTAGGGTGCTTCGCCAGGGCCGCAGCGCGGGCGCCAACACGCCGCCTCTGGGCCAATCTCGTGGCCTCCGGGGAACCCGGAAATGGCGCCTCAGCCCGTAAAGGGGCCCCGCCTCCCGGATACAGCGGTGGGTGGGGAGCGGCGAGAGCGCAGCCGCACCGGGCGTCGGGGCACCAGGGCGCGTTGTGGAACTACTTCCGGTAGTGCCCCACTGGTTGTTTGATTACAAGCCCTGGCCACGTGGCTGAGTTTGTGGCAGCACCCTCCTATACACGGAAAGGTTGCCCTGTGATTCCTGGTCAGGGTACATTGAACCTGTGTTCCAGGTTCAATCCCCAGATGGGGCACATTCGGGGAGGCAACCAATTGATGTTTCTTTCTCACATCAAAGTTTCTATCGCTTCTCCTCTCTAATCAATAGTCATATTTTGGAGTGAAGATCAAAAAAAGAAAACGGCACCTCAGAGACTGAAGAAGTCCAACTAGAGGTGCTTCACCCTTGCTCTGAGTTGTAATTGCCCAGGGAACTTTGAAAACATATACACGATTGCCACCCCAGCTTGAGGTGAGCTCCTTGAAATTGAGAGCTGGGGCTTATTCATCTTTTTCTCTTCCATATCTAGCAGAACTGGGCTAATAGCAACCTTGGTTGGTTGTTGAATGAATGAATGCATGAATGGTAAACAAGCTCTTCACACAAAGTGGAACCGGGATGCAGTTTCAGGCTTCCCTGCGTCTACCCAAGTTGGCCCAGTAGGACTTGTCCCGGCCCTGCTCCTGAACCACTCTCCAGCACGCAGTTGCTGCTTTTCACCAGTTGGCAGGCTCAGTACCCTGTACAGATGGTAATTGGTGACGTGGCACTTTAAACACCACAAAAATCGATGGGAAATGTGTTTCTAGTGGTTGGTAACTAGTAATAAAATAATGAGGCTCTGCCTGTTCTGAAAAATGTCCAAGCGTTGGGCCAGACCTTATTACTGAGGGAGTATGCACCACTCCTTCTCTCCCAGCGCTCTAAGGAGAACTCCTTAATTGCAGAACCTCTGAGTTCACTCCTTTCAAAGAGGAAAGATTTCTTACTGCTGGGAGAGAAGCTTAGTCAAGCTATGCAATAAAACCCTGAGTGGGGGAGAAGAGACAGTGATGAAGGCAGGAAAAGACGAGTTTTCTTCAGGGATATGAGAAGAGCCCCATCAGAGCAACCAGGTGGGAAGGAAAAAGAAAAAATTTAGTGAATGTTTGAGTTCTTGTTTATGTCTATTTTCTGTAATGATTTGAATGAGATATGAGCAAAGAATGAAGTTCCTTTTAAAATTGTATTTTGGCCATTGTCCTGTGCTTCTAAATGCAACACTGTCCCAAGGCCAACACACAAGAGACTAGACTTTATGAAAGTTACACCTACAAGTGGATGAGAAGGGCGTGCAAAAAGACAAAAGCATGCCTCTCACTCAGTGTTTTGCTAACTCCACAGCTGCCTCTGTCCAAGAAAAGGGAGCCAGAGTGAGTGGAGGCAGCAGAAGTCTCAGAGCTAGTCAGTTCTGGCTGCTGCTGAGGGGACAGCCTGGACAGTGAAGCACTGGGTCTTGAGGGTGGAGGTGGAGGGCAACCCAAACTAAGTGCTGTCCTTAGCATTCACTGGGGCTCTTCAGCCAGGGTGTCCAGGAGCCCTTGGGGGTAGGTTGCAGGGAGGTAGGGAAAACTCAGTTTGGAATCAGGTTACCACTTAATGTGGGTGCCCCTGGGGCAGCCTGAAACTAGACAGGCTTCTACCCAAAGCAGGATGCTTCAGGGTGGCCACACCACTGGGTCATGGAGACCACTACTGGCAGGTGGTAGCTCTGGGGCAGCCAGGGCTTCCAGTATATCAATAATAGTTTACTCAAGGAGAAGCCTCTGGGATATACTCACAATCCCACCCCACCCCCTCACCACATGGCCGCAGATCTTAAGATCAGAAGGGGAAATTTTCTAGGGCAACATCAGAGAGACAGCAACGCATATGGTTAATTAACTGTGGGGAGAGGGGCTCTTGACCATGGCAGCCCCTGTGATTCAGGCTTATTACTGCAAAGTTGAACTCAGGAGAGAATAGTGGAGGCAAAGCAAGGTGCCATGAAGAAGGGCCACATCGTCTTGGATGGAAAGCAGTGGGAGCGTTGGACTACAGAAGACGGAAGGCCTTCAGTTGAGGCTTTGTCCACTGCTGACATTATAAATAAATTTGCTGTCAGTTTTCTCATATGAAAAACAAGATCTGCAGTGTCTTATACATGAAAGTATCTGGCACATAGTGTACATTCACTCATGTATTTATTTCACAAAAATATCGGATGTTTGCTATGTGCCAGGCACCAGGCTAGACACTGGGGACACTGGTGAGCAGAGAGCTGTGGTCCTTGTCCTCATGGGGCTTACATTTTAATTGCAGAAATTAAAATATTGGCTGAATCCAGATCCCTACTTTCCTGCCCACTCCCCAACCTCCTTCCTGTGTAATGGGCTTCAGCCAGTACTTTTAGAAAGTGTGAGCAAGAAAGGAAAGCCTCAGAACACTACATTTTAGGGCTGACAGGAAAACGAAACTGGTCTCCTGGCCATAACCATCCTCTTTCCCATAAGAGATTTCTGGGGAAGCTGAGGAGATTCCAGTTTAAAGCCAGGGAATGATCACAGCCTCCCTCCAGGCCTTTCCAAGAAACCAAGAATCTTTTTCTAGGCCTGTACCAAAAGCAGATATAATCAAACCAGCATTTTAACACATCTTGTGAGAACAGTAGGATATTTGACAGACCATTTCTAGAGACTGATGAGAGGCTTGGAAAAAAGGACCATAGAAGAAGTAGGAAAAGGACTGTGATGGTCAACTATGAAGGTGAAGACACCATAGGGGTGATTTAACCAAGGTTATGTGTGCACCAGTTCTTTTCCTGCTCAGTGGAGAGCTAAGATAAAATATATTTCTGTTGTAGTGGGAATATTTTAAGTTAGATGTAGGAAAAAACTGCCTGACTCTAAGAATGGTTAAATGCCAACAAAATGGGTTATAGAATAAAATCAGCTTTCTTATATTTGAGAGAACAAACTTGTAAATAAAGCAACGAAACTTAGCCCGTATGAATGCTTGTTATCTGATTCTGTCCTTCAAGGTCAAAACCGAAGAAACACTGCTGAGCACTGATGATTATCATCTCTGCTGTGTAAGGAAGACTGGATACCTGTAGGCTGAGGGGATCACTTCCCACTTGGGGAGACCGCTCTCAAGTCTCCTTTTGAGCCTTTAGCCCATCTTCCACCTTCTCCATCCAGCTCATTGACCAAGAGGCTGACCTGCAGGAACTGTGCGAGGATCCCTTGCCCCTGGGTTTGTAGCTGAGTTCTGTAGGTTGTCCTCCAGAAGGGATGGGGGAAAGCAATGCTGGGCATTATACAACCCTGTCCCCCACAGTTTGATGGCTGCTGGACTCCTTTATGGGAGGCTGTAGATCCCACTGCGTGCCCTTTCACGCTGCTATAGCTCTCACTGGGTTTGAGGAAACGCTCCGCCATTGTCCCTTCAGGCCCAGAGGTGGTACCAGAATGCTGCGGACCCTGGACTGCCCTGGACTCTGCCCAGACCTTGTAAATAGTCCTCTAACAAACACTCCTGAGTCAGCCCTTTGAGTGTCTGTGACATCTGTCTCCAGCTGGAGTTCTGACTCACACACGCTGTGAGTCGGACTGAAGGAATTCATTAAATATTTATTCTAACAGAAAGGTTTTGAGCAACTATTTTATATAAGTGATAAATACTAAAGGACCTAATAATAACATCTAAACATTTTTGAGTGTCTGGCATGTGCTAGGTACTAGACTAAACCGATGCATATGATTTAATCATCATAGCAGTGTTATGGCCAATGTGTTTTTAAACCTCTTTCCAGGCAAGAAAACTAATGTACATTACAGTTAAGTACCTTGCCTGAGGCTACATCACTTGTAAGTAGAAAAGGCAGGATTCAAACCCAGATAAAGTCCATTTTTAAACTTACATTTTAAAGTTCTCTTTACAGCTTCTAATATACAGTGGTAATTATGATAGGAGGAGGAAGGAACTCTGCCATGTGCTAAGAGTTGGGTACCTAAAACTAAGCTCTGTTACCCAACTTGAAGTCTTGTAGAGGTGCAAATATGAACAGATGACTGACTGGATGAAAAGCACGCCAGGTGACTGGGGGTGGGAGAAGAGCAGTGTGGAGGAGGAGCCTTACGTGCAGTGATATGCTGATAAATGCGCAACAAATGGTCTCCTATCCTCCCCAAAAGCCCAGATTTATAGTGTTTGCCAATTTCCGTGGTGTAAATACTTGCACTGTGGCTGATGTCCAGTTGCCAGTATAATATCACTCAGTGGAGAGTAAGGAGATGTGCACAGTTGGCTTTTGAGAGTCAGCTCAAGCCTGCTCTAGCTCACTGCTGAATTTATGCACGAGGGCAGCAAGTCATGAAGTGTAGGGGCACTGCAGGCTGCTGGAGCTCAGGGACCCAGAGGTGCGGAAGGTGGACCGGGAACAGGGCTGAGCCCGGAGA